CCCCAAAACCCCAAAACCCCAAAACCCCAAAACCCCGGTCCAGAAGTTGTAGGTTGAAGCATGTGCAATGAGTTCAAAATTTTAATGGGAATAAATATGGGGAGTAGGTAAAAAGGGGGAAAGGTGTTAAAAGTAAAAAATGAATAAAGTGAAAGAAGGAGGCATTTTTAGGGGAAAATAAGTAATTTTAATGTGATAGAATTGAAATTTGACCCTAATGGCAGGGGTTTGGGGTGGTTGGAAAGATATTACTTTAACATGGTTTGGAGGATATTCATGAAAGTTCGCAAAATATTATTTTGTGGCAATAATCTGTATGTTCTAAAATTGTAGATGTGGTACAGCGAACATTTTCTAATAGTTCAGTAAATCAGGTTTATAAACAGCTACTTTCTTAAAATAGTCATACTAACTTTTCAAAATACCAACCCTTCTCCGTTACATTTAAACCTCCCACACTCTCAACTAGTTGTTTTGATTGTTGCTGAATTTGGTAGATATGCTTCGAGCATAAGATATTTATAAACTTGTTTTTAAAATTTATTTAGTGATTTACTGGTTCTTCTGATCCTCTTCTTAGCCCCTTCCAAAGTCAGGCAGAGTCTCAATTCTTATTTTCATCTATTTAGCCTCAGGCTCGATGTTCTCGTTATCCATCTTGTCAGGGCACTTTCTATGTTAGATATTAGAAGATTGTTCGTAAAGTTCACCCCAGAACTATTTTTCAAATAAGATAGCTTTTATGGAAGACAGAGCAAAAGAACAAAAAGATTCTAAATGCTTACCCACTATGCACTTTGCTCCTATTCGTTCTGGACATGAACGCAAGTATATCTGGAGAGTTTAGGTCTTGCATCTGACTCATCTTTGCATGGGCCTTAAAGGGAACAAGGCTGTGTAGCTTAGTCCCTCTACGACCAAATCTTGTTCCTCAATTAGTCACTATGATAAGTTAGTCTTCGTTGATATAAATATTGATATTTTATTTTGTGAAGAAATTTGTATACCAAAATATTTAAAGACATTAAGAAGTATCCTTAAAGATACAATTATCTCAGACCAAATTTGCAAGCCTGAAATAAATCAGTGCAATCCTAACAGATAATTTTTTGAAGTAAAACAAATTAATAAAAATAAGGTCAAGGTCGCAACTTTTGAAGTTTCATTGAGTTTAAAAATTCTCAATGTCCCAAATTAAGTATAACATTTTAAATTTATAAGCTTCTCTATAGAAAGAGAAATAAGTATCAGCTACTAAAATTTCTATCAAAAAGGAGGAGCTTGTACATTATACTATCATATCCTTCTAACTTTGATAACCCCTCTAGACTCTCTAAAGCTAACTTAATTGAGTTTCTCTCCTCAGAATGCCTTCTAAAGGATGAATATCGACTCACCACCTACTCTAAGGTGCTATTCTTGCTTAAAACACGAATTATTTCTCTACTAAAAAGCTTTTGGCTAAATTTCTACTACCAAAAATGTGAATTTTCTTGCTCTCAGATTCACTTACTTTCCATCTGGAAAGTAAGTGCCTGATAGGTTAACTATTTTCTATGCTTGACTAAAAGGGAGAGTTTTTATATTAAGTCTTCAACTTATTTACCAAACAGAGCTAGGGTATTAAGATTAGGGTTTTGCATCATGAAAGATCCGAGCTGTCCTACATGTCTAAAGATGAGGAAGGGCTATTGTACTAAAACAAGGCTATTCTTGGAGATTAACATAACAACCGCCGGTCATCGATATGATGTTAAAGACCAAATTTCCAAAATCCACCAAATGTTGTATAACAATCCCTAATTTTAAAAGAGTTACTAGAGAAGCCAAATTTGTCACTCCAGAATATATGTCAGAGTAAAGGCAAGAAGAGGACTCTTGATAGCTTACTGATAAGGAAATAAAGAAGATAAGTATTCAGAGATTTCATGATTAGTCTAAGAGCTATATGATAAGAGAATGATTAGGTAATATAATCTGATGGCCTTCTTGTGCTAGAGTTTTGAAATTTATCAATTAAAGTAGTTGAGATCTGAGAAGGTACTATCAACTAGTCTTTTAGAACAATTAATGTCTATCGAGTGCAGATTTCTGATACATTACAGAGATAAGTAGTCCTATACTCCCCATATGGCTTGTGAGCCATATGGGGAGTATTAGAGGGCTAAAGTATGCTTATATATCAGCATTTGTACCTCCTGGGTGCTTTCATCCGTACTGGAAGTTTTGGTTACGCTCCTTTTATAATAGAATTTTTTCAAATATTTCAAATGAAATTTTTCAAAAATTAACTAAGCGAGGAAATCGGTGCATTTAGGCGGTGGTCAACTCTGTTTGAATATTTTACTAATATTTGTCAAGCATTAGGTAAATACTACATCCACTGGTTGTTGAGCCAAGAGGGTTTCCATGCTCAGAAAAGATTTTAAAGCTGATTGATACGCTTTGAAGGAGAGATAAGCTACCTCTTGGAATGTACCAAATTAAAGTTTTGATATGATATGAGTTGATAACAGAAAGAAAATGAACTGTTTATGAATTCTAATCAAACCCTTTGAAATGATTAAACTTGGCTTAAAAGGAAGAGATAAAGTATTAGATAAAATAAATGACAATAGGACTCGGTAGATACATTCTTAATTGTTTTGATCAAAGCTAGGTGAATTAGAAACATTGCTCCAAATCATGCTTACCTTCTGATTTTTTGTGTAACTTAGGGACTCCCAAATGATTCTGAGAAAGCTTCTGACTCTTTGTATGTCTCATAGGCTTTTTGTCAAAAAGCTCCTGTAGTTCAGCAATAAAGTCATCTTTATTTCCCAGCCTTGATGTTTCCTTTGTTGTTCATTAAATTACTACTAGGTGATTTAATCTTAACGCTCATGACTCTTGAAGTTGAAGCTTCTTCACAGCATTCAAGATTTCCTGTCTCATCAATATCTTGAAAGTTTTCCTATAAAACATCGTGAGCGAGTTTAATAAGGTAAACGGGTGGGATACAAATTTTTTGTTATCTCCCAATTTTTGATTCACTTCAGATAATTTTTGACAAATCGCTCCTCCTTCAGATGACATCCGGAGTTAAAAATCTGTCTTATAAACCTTTAAGCTTATTATCTCTTAAATAACTAGCCTCTTAGATACCATAAGGACCAGCTACGGCCGCAAGGAACGATCTCATACCATAGTTTTATGCACGATTTATTATAATTATTCTATTAGAGTTACTCACTTAGGGGTTTTGGGATTTTGGGGTTTTGGGGTTTTGGGGGATTT